CATCCGGAGTGCGGTTTCGCCAAAGAGTTTGTCTGTTGTTGTGATTCCAAGCGATTGTCCGACTCTATAGCCGACGGCCTCAACAGGAATGGCGTAATCGTCGCTCACGTGAACTCTTCGGCGAAGAACGCGGCCGACGATAAGCTGTCGGAACTGATGGACTCGTTTGTGGATAACTTTGGCCACAGTTCGCCGGTTCTGGTGGTGATCACCGGTGATATCAATTTCGCAAAGACTATACGCAATGCCATTCGTAAGAGTATTACTGTTGTCTTAATTCACAACAACTACTGTTCGCAAGACCTGAAGAATCTGGTGAAAGAGTCGCATCTGTTTGACGCCATCATCGCTGACGTCCCGAAGGCTCACTCCGACGACCGCCTGAAGCCCAGTATGTCTTGTGTTTGGCTTTGATTCGCGAACTCAATAATTGTCTCATTTCTAGCGCACATCAAAGTCTGTAATTTGCCGACAGATAAACCCATTAAAGACATTATCACTCGATTGTCTCAAATGACATCCAATTGTGGCGGAAAACCGATGAACATCTTTGACGGAAAGGCATTGATTGAGTTTGGCTGCAGAGACGATGCCATCCGAGCCCTACACAGAATCAGTGGTGACAACTGTTTTGGACATGAAATTCAATGCAAACTCATTGACAATTTGAAGACCAGTACTGAAGCGCAAGAGTTTAATATTTGCAAATCAATTATCACCGGATTGTCCCTCAGATGCGGTGATAATGTGACACAAATTGTTCACAAAATGATCGCCAAATGGGAAGACTTCAACATAAACTCAAAACATATCGTTAGAGTGGATGTACTGAAAGACAATGAGCTGATAATAACCGCCGCCACTCCTGAAGCCAATCAAAAATTGTTAAAATCCGCAAAAAATCATTTGAAAACTAATCCAAGTATTAAATGGACTGAAATGGAAGGGTATGTCTGAATATATCAATGTTTAAAAGAATTTCATTTCATCGGATCTATTGTTTGCAGATATGAATTGGTGTCGGGTTTTGGTTGGAGTTTGAAAATACAGGAACCAATTGCTGACAACAGAAGATCTGTTATTAAGGGCTTTAAGTCAAGGAAAGAAGACGATGTGTTGGAAAAAATTAAATCTTTGGTTAATTCTTGGAATGACAGAAAAGTTTGCGCCGATTCTGTTGTTTGTGTTGAAAGAAATACAAAACAACAACTAATTGATGGAAAGGTTAACCTTTTTGTGACGGCTGTCAGCGCCGAAGCGTCTAAAGCACTGGTCAGAGCCGCCAAATATCATCTCAACCCCAATAGTGGCATAAAATGGAAACGATATAAACATATGTCTCGAAACGTTGGCGAAGACATGGATNCCATAGGATTAGCATTACGAAAAGCCTGTCTTTGTTAAGCCATAAAATCTATACTAGTAATCAGATTTTAGAAATTCTTTTTTTATGTTATAGAGGAGTATCTGCTCTAAACATTTCCCATGAAGGCCATCTCAATATTTCTTATCGTTTGAGCAATAACATGTGGTTTTGGAATTGTCCCATATTTTGCATACCACGTGACCAAAATCTAAAAGTAAGATATCCAGAAGAACTAGCGTATATGGCACTATTAAATGCATTTTACAGATTTTGATTATCTATTGTAGTTTAAGAATAATCGAACAAACCGCGTGTGCGAGATCAATTGACCGGCCCTTTATATGTGTAAAGTTAGGTCTATTGGACTAATGCTTATCCTATTGGCAATGCTAAGTCTATGGACATACAAACAAAATAGAATTAATAACAAGGATATTTAATATTAAAACCGAATAAATATCAACAATAACATTGAAAATTTTCAAAATACAAACAATTAGCTGATATAACAATGACACATTTTGAAAAATGGCATTCATTTAACAATGCTTTAAAAATTAATTTTGAAAATACAATTCTTAAACGCAATTTATTATCCAAAAGTTTGTCATTCAATGCAATCTCACATACAATCAGAATGTTCTGTGATTTATATCAATGTTTGCATTGATTTTGTTTTGTAATCAATTTTTGTGAACAAAGAACTTTGTTTTGTTGTTTTTATTATTATTACATAAATCTTGAAATACATGCAAACACTATAATAATCTATACATTGCATCAAATAATCAGATAATAAGTGTATAAATTGTACTGAAAAGCAAAGTTTGTGACAATTTATTAAACAAATCAAACCATAAGAAGAATAAGTATTGCAATTAAAGTGTTATAAAGAGATAGATTTGAATATTTGCTTTTCACTGCCATTTATAATCCAAGAGATATTTGTTATTATTTTATTTTTTTAGTTTATTTCTTGTTTTGAATTAGTGTTTGAATCCAATGTAGTCTTTGAAAGCGAGCTTTGAATCCAAGCTTTTGGTCATTTCGAGAATCAGACGCTTTTTAGTGACATCTTTGGCGGTCATTTTTTTAGTTTATTTCTTGTTTTGAATTAGTGTTTGAATCCAATGTAGTCTTTGAAAGCGAGCTTTGAATCCAAGCTTTTGGTCATTTCGAGAATCAGACGCTTTTTAGTGACATCTTTGGCGGTCACGAAAAGCATAGCCGAGCCGTCGCGTGACCTGTATTTGTAGTCACGGGTGACGGCGACGATGTCTTCGGCGGTGATTTCGCTGCTCTCGAAACAAGTGATGAGTTGGCGAACCATTAGTAGGACGTCATCGGTATGTTTGGTACTGTGGCCGCAGATAACAAACATACGGTTCGGATGATTGGCCCGACTTTGATGGTCGCCGTGAGAAGAGTCCACGTCTTGAGGGCTCGACGACTCGTGCCGTGCGTTAACGTGAGTCCAAACGATGCCTTTGCTCCGATCCAAAAGCTTATCGGCACAACTGATGAGCGCTTTGCAAGTCTTGGCACACTTTGCCGTCACATACAACGGAACCTTTCCATCGATTCCCACATAACGCGAATCTCTCTCCACTTTCTCAATAAAGTTGCCATTCGTTCGGCTTTCCCTCCAATTCATTACCTCTCGTCTCACAATTTTGGTGATGTCGTCGTCAGCCTTCGTAAACAGTCCTCTAATTACAGACATCCGACTGTTTGACACAATGTTGTCATCGGTTTTGAATATATTGTGTGCTTTAATACTACGATTGGATGTAGAGGTCGAGGGTATAGAAGAGACCGTTTGTGGACTTAGATTGACGTTATTGTGCGGCAAAGTTTGTACTGTGGGCTGAATAAGAGGAAGGGGTGCCTGTAATGGCAGGAATTGCCAAACGGGAACCGATTGCCAGTACTGATAGTGCGCTAAACCATTCATTGGATTCATTGACACATTAGGTGTGCTTATCATATAATTTCTGGCCAACGCTTGTCTTTGTAATTGTGGTCCGATTTGTTGTGGTTTATATTCAGTCCAAGTAATGCCTTCACTGGGCTTTAAATGCATGTTTGCGCCGGCGATCAGTACTCGACTTCTGTGAGGACTGGAAGCGGTCACTATAAGGGCCGGAACGGACTCTCTATGTGGCGGTGATCTCCACTGCGGCTCCACTTTGACAATAAAATTACCATTAATTTTGCTGTTACTCCAACTGAACACTAGTTTACGCACAGTTTTGACGGCATTTTGATAGCAACTAATCTTCAAACCAGTGATAATTGACAGACAATTAGAAACAGAATTATCATAAGATGTGCCGCAAATGTCTTGATTTTGAGGCATAGTTTTGGACGCGTTTGACATTAGATTCAAATGAGCTGACGATGACGTGGAATAGAAACTACTATCACTCAAATCACTGTCGCTGTCATCGGAATTATAGTTAGAGACGGCTTCAGAACTTCGTGACACATCTCTTGGCGTATATTTAGTCCATTTTATCTTATGTTCGGCTCTTATATGGCGTTTTGCGCCCATAACTAGCGCTTGACTGGCCTTTGGATTGAGTGCAGTGACAAACAAATTGACCGGTTGTTGGTCTCCGTCCTCTCTTCGCTGTCTTGAATTGGTTTCCACACGAACTATAGAATTACCGGTAACTGAGTTGTCGTCCCAATCGTCTACTATTTTGCACACCATTTCTGTTAGATTTTCGCCACTTCTGGTCACCAATCCTTTGATCACTGATTTGCAGTTATAGTCATCCATGTCTTCGCCGACGTTTCGAGACATATGTTTATATCGTTTCCATTTTATGCCACTATTGGGGTTGAGATGATATTTGGCGGCTCTGACCAGTGCTTTAGACGCTTCGGCGCTGACAGCCGTCACAAAAAGGTTAACCTTTCCATCAATTAGTTGTTGTTTTGTATTTCTTTCAACAGAAACAACAGAATCGGCGCAAACTTTTCTGTCATTCCAAGAATTAACCAAAGATTTAATGTTTTCCAACACATTGTCTTCTTTTCTTGACTTAAAGCCTTTAATAACAGATCTTCTGTTGTCAGCAATTGGTTCCTGTATTTTCAAACTCCAACCAAAACCCGACACCAATTCATATCTGCAAACAATAGTTCCGATGAAATGAAAGTCTTTCAAAACATTGATATATTCAGACATACCCTTCCATTTCAGTCCATTTAATGCTTGGATTAGTTTTCAAATGATTTTTTGCGGATTTTAACAATTTTTGATTGGCTTCAGGAGTGGCGGCGGTTATGATCAGCACATTGTCTTTCAGTACATCCACTCCAACGATATGTTTTGAGTTTATGTTGAAGTCTTCCCATTTGGCGATCATTTTGTGAACAATTTGTGTCGCATTATCACCGCATCTGAGGGACAATCCGGTGATCATTGATTTGCAAATATTAAACTCTTGCGCTTCAGTACTGGTCTTCAAATTGTCAATGAGTTTGCATTGAATTTCATGTCCAAAACAGTTGTCACCACTGATTCTGTGTAGGGCTCGGATGGCATCGT